GAGAGAGAGAGAGAGAGAGAGAGAGAGAGAGAGAGAGAGAGAGAGAGTGAGAGTGTATGTGTGTGTGTGTCTCATTTTGGAGTGGAGGCATCACTGGCCCAGGGAATCACTACATGCTCCTGGTCTTCTTCCTACCTTCTTTTTCTCCTGTGCTGCTTTCTTCCACTTCAACTTCCTCTTCCTGTCTCCTGAATGTGTGTGTCCTCCAAGGCATGCTTTCCCTGAGAGATCTCATTCATTACCACGGTTTTCACTATCACTTCTATGCAGGTAATTCCCACATCTATCTCTTGTCCTTAAATCAGTCATCTTGTCTGCCATACATCTTCACCTAGATCATACAGTCATGGTTTTAGAAGTGGAAGGGACCTTAGAGGTCATCTAGTTCAATCTTCTCACTTTATAGATGAAGAAAGAGACCAGAAAAGTGACGTTACTTTGCCCAGGAGGTCAACAAGTAGCAGGAGAGCTTGTCAGGGTTTTGAACGAAGGTCTTCTGACCCCTAATGTAGTATATTTTTACCACTGCACCATGCTGCTTCTTCCCGGCTTCCATCACCTGTAGAACTCAGCCTGTCTAAAAACTAACACTGTCTTTTACCTCAGACCATTTGTCCCAAGTGTACCTTCATTCTTCCAGTCATTCAGGCTCCTGAAACCTTGGAGTCACCCTTGATTCTCATCATCCACATACAGTTACCAAGTCTCTTCTTTCTTTCTTCCTAAGGTCTTTCATTCATCTCTTCCTTTCCTGCTGCCACTAACCTTGTTCAGTCTCTTATCGCATCATATCTCCTTTTGCAGTAACCTCCCAACTCATTTCCCTGCTTCTGATTTTTTCTAATCAATCTATCCTATATGTGATTTAAAAAGAAAAAACATTCCTTTTGCACAAGTAAACATGCCATCATTCAAAAGCCTTCAGTGACTTCTCATTGCTTGTAAGATTAAATGTATACTCCATAGCTTATTTAACATTCAAAACCCATTACAATCTGATTTCTACCTACTTCCCCAACCTTATTTCCTACTGCTCCCCAAACCTTACGCTTCGGCTAAACCAGTCTGTTCATTGCTTTCTGAAACATGTTATGTACGTGTCTAGAGTGTTCTCCTAACTGGAAATTTCCTTCTCCTCCCCCTCTCCCCATCTCTACATTTCTAAATCCTATCATTCCTTCAAAGTCTGTCTCTAGACCCACCTCCTCCACGAAGACTTCCCTAATCACCTCACCCTCTTTGATGATCACTGCCTTTTCTCTTCTGTACCACTTGGTACTTAGCATATGATAACTTGTCCTATCATCATCATTATTATTACTATTAATATGTTATATTTTTCCAACTAGATTGTAAATGCTTTGAGGGCTAGGACTATAACTTAGACCTCTTTTTATCTCCTATGCCTAACATAGTACCCTACATGTAGCATAGGTTCCACAGATCTCTGTTGTTGATGATGCAATGATGATGCCAATAATGATGATAGGAAACCATCAGTGAACAATCCCTGCCCCTGTGTGATCTGGTGCGGAGAGCTGGCATGTGAAGTTTCAGGGAGGAGAGAGACCGTGCAGGAGGTGTGTGTGTGAAGCTCCTGGACAATTCCTTGCCCTGCTAGTCTCACCTTTCTAGTGACCCCATGATGCCACTTCTCTCTTTGGGATCCAGACAGTAAGCATCAAGGGGAGAAATGGAGGTGGGGAACAATGTATAAGCCAGCTGAAAATGTTGTAGACAGTGGAGTTAAAAAAAATGGTAGAGGAAGGGAAGACTCATCTCAGAAAGACAGGAAAGCCCAAGTCATTCTTTTCCATTGTTTTTCAGCAATTTCAGCAATGCCAAACATTGAGTTTGTAGATAGAAAGGGAACATTTGAACTATGAAGAGAAAGACCATGTTTCATTTCTAGGAGAGTATTTCATTCACCAGAGTGTTTGGACATTGTATTTATTGAGACTATGTTAAGTGC